TCTCGACATAGATCAATACTTTCTTTTAGTCGTCCATCAGAACTATCTTTTATGTAACAAATAGTTTATGAGTGATTTTGACTTTGAAATGATTGAATATCCTAAAAAGCGGCGACGATGGTAGAAGAAATAAGCGATTACCTTCAGATTTCAGTATCAGGTCCTTTTCGTCTACGGCGATGCCTGGAATACGATCCTCGCATTTCTCGATCTGCAATTCGGCGTCTTCCTTCGTTCCGATCTCGTTCGTCTCTTCTATCCTCTTTCTTTCTTCCCTCGCGTTTTCGCGTTTCAACGAGTGAACCGTTTGATCGGCGAAATTTCGCGGAACGACGTCTTCGCCTTGCCGCTGCATCTTCGATGCAACGCGATCCGCGTTAACAGAGGGAACGAATTTATCCACTTTGATTTCTTCCACGTGGTTAACGGAGCTTTGGCACATATCCTGCGTGACTCTAGACTCTTTCGGTCGAACTCTGTTCACCTTTGGATCCCTGATATTCGGAATCGTAATGAAATTATACTTTTCCCTCTGCTCCTGCGATGCAATTACCGGCATCTGCTCCACCTCTTCCTCCTCCTCCTGTTCCTTCTCCTCCTCCTCCTCCTCCTCCTCGTCCTCCGACTCGTCGTTACTCGGCTGCTCTCTGGGAGAGGCGCAGTTGGCAATCCTCCCGATCCTGCTCCAAGACAATCGTGTCACCTCCGATGGTTTCTCAGGCGCGAATATAACGTTGTCGACGTTGAACAGGACGTTCTTCCTTCGTGTCTCGAGCACCTTGCCCCGCTTCAGGATACTCTTCAGCGTTTGTTTGGCTTCCTTCAGCCTTCTCGGCGGTCGCTTCGGCGAAACCTTTGGTATGGGGATTCTCGTGACTGGCGGGACGTCGTCCTCGTCGTCCGAGATCTCGCGTGGCTCGTTGAACACCCTTATTCTCTGGCCACCGATCGCCGCCACCGCGCTCCTATTCGGTATCCTCTCGATCGACTTCACTTTCGACGAATCGAACAGGCTGGAGAGCGGCCTCGCATCCTCCTGCTCGAGGGCGTTGTCCGATAGATCGTCGCTTAGATCGTCCTCGTCCCTCTGTTTCTTCAACAACAGATACGGATTCACGTCGCACACGAGGATGCTCTTCCTCGAGTCGCCGGCGCTCAACGGCCTCTCCTTCCACTCATCCTGATGATGATTGCCCTTCGTCTGACTGGCTTCCGGCGTTTTCATCGCCGCGCAATCCGGCCAGTCGTTCCTCGTGCTTTTCACCTTTTTCGGAATCCGGGCCAGCCTGGAGGCGGCGGTCGTCGCGGCCGATTGATTTCGCGGGTCCGTCGCCAACGGCGACTCCTCGAGCCACTCGTCCGTGGACGCACCGCCAGTGAAACTCGCTCGTTGCTTGTGTCCCGGGTCCTCGTAGCTCCCGTTCGCCTCTTTGTCGAACCATTCGGACTTCGAGGAAGTACCTTCGATCGAGCCCTTCCGCTCTCTTCCGTTCCGCGCTGTACTTTGGCTCCGAAAGTCGCGCTGCGACAACGGCCGGTGCGGCGAGATGCTCCGCGCTCGCGTCCTCGGCTCCACCAGCCGATTCCGGCGCATCTGGTCGTAGGGATCGTCTATCGAAGATCTCAGCACTCCTGTTGATTTTCGACCACGATAAGATATTTTTACGTTAACGATAAAAGTGATTTTGTTACAGTTTGGAAAGTTTTGACAATTTGTTATTTAGTTAAGAGGGAATTCTTCGAATACCGGTATGCAATTTGCTTTGTTTCCGAATTTATAATTGTGCGAAATATTTTTTTAACTTTCAAGTACGTATTATTTATATATATATATAAAATATATATATATAAATTAACTTTCAAGTATGGATTGACCGCGAGACCGTTCCCAGCTTTATTTTATATTTCTCGATATACATATCGATACATATTCGAAATTCATTTATCATTAATATAATATTAATATAATATCATTTAATGTAATAATTTAATAACTAATATCATTTAATATAATATTAATGTAATATCATTCAATGTAATAATTTAATAACTAATATCATTTAATATAATATTAATATAATATCATCTAATGCAATAATTTAATAACTAATATCATTTAATATAATATTAATGTAATATCATTTAATGCAACAATTTAATAACTAATATTATTTAATATAATATTAATATAATATCATCTAATGCAATAATTTAATAACTAATATCATTGAATATAATATTAATATAATATCATCTAATGCAATAATTTAATAACTAATATCATTTAATATAATATTAATGTAATATCATTTAATGCAACAATTTAATAATTAATATCATTTACTATAATATTAATATAATATCATTTAAACTGAAAGAAAAGCTTATATAAAAGAAAATATTCTAGCTAAAAACACATCTGCAGTATATAAATTCATATACTCCGCATGACAAGTGAAGTGAATGCCGCGCAAGGCAAAGCTATATACATACATTTCGATACTTCGTTCAAGTGTGTCACGCGAGAAATTTTATTAACAGACTTAGCAACTCACTAACGTAGCTACTTAACGCGTGTTAACGAACGGCAACCGATGTAAGCGGCACCGGTGTTAATCGTTAAACGTATCTTTCCCTTGCTCACGTTTCCTTTGCGAGACGCGAGCACAAAGCACAAAAGATCAGTAATCGATACTGTAACCGCGAGATCCTTTCGTCGACAGTGAATACTTACCCGCGAGACTGGGCCTGGACCTCGACGAAACCGGCGGTAGCCGGCATGTTCCTCCTAAAGGTACACCAGCCAATCGGTGACCACCGCACTTGCGGCAGTTGCCGAATTTCCGTGTGGTCCCGCTGAGAAATTCCGGGCAGGAACATACTACCAATATCGGTGCTCCCGGTGGCGGCGGGGGCGGCGGTGTCATGAAGCCTCGCGCCTCGTGGCAAGGCCTCGAAGACCGAACCGTACCATAGAGCCATGGGTCACCGTAGATCATTTGACGCGAAATCCCGCTACTGCCGCTTATCGTTCCCCACCCTTTGCCGGGATCATCGCCTTGATTCTGCCGCGACAGCCCCAATCGAACACTCCACGACTTCTTTCCTTTGCTTAGCGTGTCGTAGTTCTGAAACAGATTGAATCGTCGTGGATCAAATTTTGTTAAGTTAATTACGAACTTGCCAGCTTTTGTGCGTTTTCCTTTTTTTTTTTTTTCTTTTCTTTTTGGTCTGAATTTGAATGGAAATAAAATTGTGAGTGGAAGCAGGATTATTTGTTTGAGAAGACAAAGAATAACTTGCTCTTCTTTATATATTTTATTTTGTTCTTTTTATTTAAGAAATGAAGAAGTGTTTTTTGTTTGGAACGTTATCGAAATCAGATAAGATATTTTTGAACAAATTTTCATTTTATTTACCACTGTAGCAAACGCTTTGAATTGCTATATTTTGGTTTTAAATATTGTGTTTTGTATATATTTGAGTCATAAACAATTTAAGTTGATTAATGTTGAATTATTTTTTTGTTCACCTGTTCCCTAACATTGCTACATGATAAACAATAATTATTTATGTTTATATAATATTACATATTGATATTTACACGTGACATTTTATTGTTTAAGATATTATTTCAACAAAACATTTATTCAAATGTAAAATTTCAAATGAACTAAGATGTTACTTCGTTTGATAGATAAATAATGAAATAATTAGAAAAAAATCATTTGTTTATTAAAATAAACTAGCGTATAATTACTGGAAAACAAAATTTAGTCGAATAAGACGACATATTATATAAATAATAATTTTCCAAGTATTTTATTCAAATAATATCTAAATTCGAGTAGAAGATTCATAGTAAAATGAAGAAACACAAATAATTTCAGAAGAAGAATAAATAACGTAAAAAATAGGAGAATATATAACATAACACATAATAGAAGAAATAAAAATATATGTACATGCATATAAAATTAATATTAATTAATAGAGAAATTTTAGAGAATTCTATCGAACCCATCAAATAGTATCAATGTTCTTTCCTTTCACTGTTTTAATATAAATAGCGAAATATAAAATAAATAAAAAGTATATAATATAAAATAAATAAATAAGTATAAAATAAAAAACATAGATATTATAGATTTTCTCAGTTATAAGATACAATTATTAGAAATTTTTAGATGTTAAATGTAAATTTTCGATGATTATACAGTGTTCAGTAAGACGTATAGCATGTTCTTTTTTGAAAAGATTTACACGAGATAAAAGTTACTCGGTCGTTTTTCACGAACCAGAATGAAGAACTTGCAGAAGTGTATGCGTAAGAGAAATGCGTGGAAGGAAATTGTTGATAACATCAATGACTAATATTACTGGTGTCTAAGGCAGCAATAAGTTCTCAAAGTGATTATTGTTTTCTCTTCCGTGGTTGCGGTAAAAGTGATCGATGCGCCTCGGAGCATAATGTAACTTGCATTTTCTATAGAATTCCATAACATTAAGTAGCAATAATAAGTATACGTGAATTTTATTAAAACTACTAGTACTATGTAATTACCTTACGTCGACACTTATTTGTTAGATGTAGGTACTTATTTTGTAAAATGAGTACTTCCTATGTTTATATAATAATTCATACTTATTAAATTATTTTTCTTGAAGGTCACTTTCAATTATTTTCTTTAAGCTTACTCTACGTCGATCCTTATTTATTAGTTACGGATACGCTATCGTGCATAAGTATTTGGAGAGTTCTAAATTATTGCAGATCTATTAAATAGAATTCAAATGGATCTTTTTAATTTAACTGCAGTCAATTAAATAAAAAGATAATAATTGAAGGTGACTGAATGTTAATTCGTAATCATCTTAATTACACGTGTCCTTTCTATATTGAAATATTGGAAAAATTGAAATATATATGAAATGTGGAATTTGAATGATACAAATATATTCCTTGTTCTAGATTAAATTCAGCAGAGTGGATTCATCAGATTTGATCTCGATTATTACAAGAAGAATTAAAAGTAGAAAAGTGTTTGTCGATCGTAAGAATGAAAATAAAACAAAAATATCAATCTTTTGATGGAGATATTATTATATAAATTACTTTATTGAAAGTGTCAAATTAATATTTACATACGATAGTGTACTTCCTATAATAGTTTATATTTATTAAATTACTTCCATTACTACTGTTTTTTAAAGAATCAGTATATTTAAATATTTTACATGTACTTGCAATCAGTGAGAAGTAAAACTTCTTGTCCATAAATTAGTGTTAAATTAATATCCCTCGTTTGCTAATAAGTCTGGAGATTTTTTTTTCAATCTCTTTGCATTAACTTCAAAATAAGGAAGTTATGTCACAGGTGTCAACGCGTTAATAATTAGCATAATGTTAGTGTAATATCAGCATTCACAAGTGATGTACCACTTAGTACTCAACTGGACATTGGGATACAAAAATTATAGTTTGCTTAGATATTAACATAGGTATATGTAAATATGTAAAGCAACGTTACAACGTTATACTGTTTCTTTAGTTAGAAAAGAGCAAATATTTTTTGTGCAAGTTCTTTTTTAAAAGAAAATAGGCAAGAAATATGTAAATTTCTTTAAATGTCCTCTCTGTTCAACTGATTTTTGTAATTTTGTAATTTCGCTGTGATTATAATAATTAATTTATATTATAGATAATTATGAAAAATATCATTGTACTAATTAATTCTTATATCATATTGTTAAAATAATTATTATATCTAATATATCATATTATATTATACAATTATATATTGAATAAAATATTATAATTTTACAAAAATGATTTAAAAAATATTTTACAAAGTACTGATCGTTTCAATTATTACTTTGTATTTTATATATAAAAAGTAAAATATTAAATTAGATATTAAATTATTAAATATGAAATCAAATATTAAATTAAATCAATTGAAAAAGAGTTGATGTTATTTAGTTTTGTTTTTTATATCAGGTTTAAATTTTCACACATAGAGACAGAAACAGATAATTAAATTTCATTCAATTGATTGTAAAATTTATTTCTGTAGTTATATTTTTCAAATCATATTTACTATCTATCTCTAAAAAATACTAGAATTAAAATTTAAAAACTTCATTTTAAATTTTTAACTCTAAAAATATTCGTAACGGGTAAACTTCCCTCTTTTTTTTTTATTTGTAACTGTAAGGTTATTTCAAATTTATTGCATGGCTATGAATTTTCTAATATGCATCCCCTTATTTGGCAGTGTCATTAATATTCAGTGCATGTACTTATCGCGAATAATAGCTGTTGTTACTATTGACAGTCGAAAGAGAGAACGTGTACGTGAAGCTTTCGTTTTCAATAGGATATCCTGAGTCAGTAAACGGAATTTTTAATGACTTATATTACAGTGCAACTCCAAATATTGAATCCAAACACTTTCAATTTTATATCTATATAAGACTGCTGGAAACTTTCGATCTCGTTGTCAAAAAACGAAAGGTAAGGCGCTACATGTGAGAATCTTTTATTAGTATGGTAACGATGAGAGAAGTTTCAGGAATATAAATAAATGTAAAAATAAAAAACAATATGTTAATGAATAATATAAAACAATAAATAATATAAAAATTATGTTTTTAATTTAAATCAGTTTGAGTTTCAAAATTTTGCTTGTCAAACATACATTGTTATAATAAAATTTAATTAAATAATCATCGATAATTATTATTATGTAATTAAAGAATTATTCAAATTATCGATGTAAGAGAAATAAATTTTATCAAGATATTTAGTGTATACAATATTTTTGCGTATGAATTCGACTTAGATCTAGAGTTCGACATAATTTACAAGTACTTATAAAATGAAAACTATTATAGCAAATATTAAATAAAAAGAAATATTAGAACCTTATTTTTCCAATATCGTTTCGAGAGAAAAAATATTATACTTAGCAAGCTTAATGTTAAATCATCTTAACACACTTTTAATAAATAAGACATTTTAATAAATAAGGCTAGAAACCGAAATAATAATCGTAACAAAATAAAAACATAAACACATAATACATATATGCATATAAATTATATTTATATTACAATAATTTCATAATTTCGAAATTCGTATTACATTTGCACTGTGTATAAATTAAATGAACTGTAAATTAATAATATATTATAATATATTATTAAATAAATTAATATTAATATAAATAAATATATAAAATATTTTAAAATAATTTATTAATATTATTAAATTTAATAATATTAATAAATATAAAGATATTAAATAATAAAATATTAAATATTAATATATTTTTTAAGTGAATTAATAATATTATAATACATTATAATTGTTATAATATATTATAATAAATTATAATATTATAATATATTATTGAAAAACTTGTTAAAGGTTATATTAAAAACTTACTTAAAAAATTATAAAATATTCTCAACATGGATTTTTGTCTGTCAGATATTTATTTTCAAAATGAACGACGGGGAAAGGAGGAACGGGAGAAACAGAAAAGAAAACCCAAAGAGAAAAAGAAAACAGCGAGATGGAACAACAGGTTTCAGCGAAAGTAAATGACGGTAGGAATCGTTCGAGATCGCTTTTTAAATTTGTTCCCCCCTGGTGAAACTGCTGCGATCAGGGGATCACAGCTTGTTTTAGGTCGGTGTCGTGAATTTCGAAAGAAGAAAGAAAACGAGAGAGAGAAAGAGAAAGGAATATTATAGGTGGACAAGGACGCCCGACAGATCAAACATCTTTTCTTCTCTGTACAAAAAGAAGAATTTCAACCATATCCAGGTACGTATAAATTCTATTTATAGGAAACTACAAAGAAATCGAGGAAAGAACTGAAAAATATTTGGACTGGTCTTCGCCTGGTTTTTCTGGTTTGGTTTCCATGTCATTTCTGCCACTCGTACTTTGAGCCTTGTTTTTTTAAAGAGATCACCTTTTCGAATTAACAGGAAATCTATCGGTATGCATGCGCCAACAGGTTCTACTCGATAGGGAAACTTTATCTATGAACGACCAAAATTCAAACTCTTGCAATTCATTCTTCTTTTTTTTTTTTTAAACTTCGCATGTGATAAT